GCCTTGAAAAATCCCTCCCTTCTCCATCAGACTCTCCTCCCCCTTGCCCAGCAAAGAAGACGGCTTGGTGCGCACTGTCATCTCCTAACTGCCCACAGCCGTGCCCTTTCTTTTTTTTTTAGTTTTTTTCCCAGTACCAGGAATTGAACTCACGACCTTCCACTTGCCAGGCAGGCACTGTGCCGCTGAGCTAAATCCCCAGCCCCCAGCCGTGCCCTTCCTGATCCATCTTGCTAAAAGGATGGACCGCCCCTTCCTCTGGTTGCCAAGATACAGCCTGCTTTGACCTTCTGAGTCCACTCAGACCCTTCCCAGCACTCCCCACCCCCGCTCTTGCCCAGAATTAATACCAGAGATCCTAATTTTTCAAGAAAAGCTAAAAAATTGTTCCGTTCTGAAATTAATTGCTAATTTAAACTTTAAAATGCAGCAACCAAGCGAACTCTACCTGCAGGCTTTCGCATGTGGCCATGGCTTTGCCTGGTCGCCCTGGGCTTTCCATCTTCCCTATCACCCAGCCTGCCCAGGGCTCTGGGTGCTCTGCTCCAGCCCAGACTCCCCGTGAATGCTGACCCACTTTCCTGAGGGTCCCAGACATTCTACATCGTGTTCCAGATCCCCCCAAACCGCTCCAGGCTTGGTTTCTCCCTCAGAAGATGGCACTTTTGTATGCCCCGGTGTGCCCCTCTCCCTCACATCCAACTTAGAACCAACATTTTTCTTTTTTTTGTTCCTTTTTTTTGGAGTTGGGGGGGTCTTGCTGTGTTGCCCAGACCAATGTCCACTTCCTGACACAAGCAATCCTCCTGCCTCAGCCTCTTAAGTAGCTGGGATAATAGATGTCCATCACCACGCCCGGCTTGTTCCCTAGTTTTGACTTTACTCCTGCCCCTCATTCACACCAGCCTGATACACACCATGGTTTACAAGCCTCACCCAGAAAACTGCAGCTAACCTCCTCTCTTCAAGATAGAAGAGAATCACTCATAATGGTGTACACCTGTAATCCCAGCACTCACGAGGCTGAAGCAGGAAGACTGCCTTATGCTCCAGGCTACCCTGGGCTACACACTGAGTCCAAGTCCTGCATGAAAATGCAGTGAGACCATATCTCAAAAAAAAAACAAAAAATAAAACCAGGCATGATGGTGTACCTATCTAATCCTGGCACTTTGCAAAGGTGAGGAAGGAGGATTGCTGGAGTCCAGGGTAGGAAACGTAATGATTTAGCAAGATCCTGTAAATAAATAGGGCTGGGCATGTAGCTCAGTGCAAAGGCCCTCTGTTCAATCCCAGCACTGGGAGTGGGGGGACTAAGTGAAAGAGATCTACCCTCCCACCATCAGCTTTCAGACTATGCCCTTTTCATGTCTCTGAATAAATCCCTGGAATAAACAGTGAAAAGGGAAAAACATAAAACTCAGCTATCCCCAGAAATCAGGATGGAAAAGCAGACAAGAGCGGAAACCACTACTTTGCACTAGTTTTGGGGTTCTATGTTATTTTCCTCTCAAGGTGTGGTTGCATCCCTTTAAAAAAATATATATTGCCGCGTGTGGTGGCACATGCCTCTAATCCCAGCACTCGGGAGGCTGAGGTAGGAGAACTGTGCAAGTTCAAGACCAGCCTGGGGGTAGGCTGAGGCAGGAGGATCGCTGCGAGTTCAAGACCAACCTAGGCAACATAAGTGAGTTCAAAGCCAGCCTGGACTGCATATAGAGACCCTATCTCCAAAAAAAAAAAAAAAAAAAAAAACTACCCTGGGCTACAAAGTAAGCTCAAGCAAGGGCAGCCTGACCTGCACAGCAAGATCCTGTCTCAAAAAGACCAAAAAAAAAAAAAAAAAAAAAAAAAAAAATTGAAGAGCTGGGTATGCTGCTGTAATCCCAGCATTCAGGAAGTAGAGACAAGAGGATTTCCCTGATTTCCAGGCCAGTGCAGGCTACATAATGAGTTCAAGGCCAGCCTGCTGGATGGAGTGAGACCCTGTTTCAGACAAACAAAAATAGACTAAAAAGAGAACCAGTTGCATGAGGCTCCTCAGAGATTAGAGGAGAACGCTTCAAGGAGAGCAGACTTCATAAGTGCTGTCAGATGCAGGAGCAAGATGCAGACATTCAGGGCCTAGAAAAAGATGACTACAGCTTGGGCAGGGCTGGGGTGCCGCTGTCATCCTGTACAAGGGCTGGGCCAATCAGGAGAAGACAGAACAGACAGCTGGGACTGGAGGTGAATCAGCAGAGATGATTTCAGCAAGATACAGGGGTGGGAAGGAGGGGAGACGAAAGTGCTGAGGGGACTCTGTGGCCATGGAGGTTGAGTTTTGTTTTTGCCTTTTTAATGTAAGATACCTGTACAACTGGGTAAGATGGCACACACCTGCAATCCTAGCTACCAGGGAGGTTGACGCAGGAGGATTAGAAAGCCAGACCCTGTCTCAGAAGTAAAATAAACAGGGCTGGGGCTGTAGCTCACTGGTAGAGTGCTTGCCTAGCTTCCATGACGCCCTGGCTTTGATTGCCAGCACAGGAAGGACAGAAGGGAGGCAGGGAGAGAGGGAAGGAGGGAGGGAGGGAGAGAGGGAGGGAAGGAGGGAGGAAGGAAGGAAAGGCAAACAAGACCCTTATACAAATTTATAGCCAAAGAAAAATGGCCACTGGAAAGAAAGAAGCTGAAGATGGAAAAGGTGGAGGATGGGGAGGGAGGTCCTTAACTTCTTAGACAGCAGGGAGAACAGCTGCTGGGGGCTGGAGGGAGGTTGAGGATGAGGAGCAAGAAGCTGGTGGAAACACTGTAACCGGTGACCTTGATATTCTGAGCAAGTGGAAAGCAAGGGCAAGCATCGGAGGAGACAGGAAGGGCTGGGTATGGTGGCACAGGCCTGTAATCCCAGCACCCCGGAGGCTGAAGCAGGAGGACCGCAAGTTCCAGCCCAGTCTGACCAACTCGGTGAGACTGCCTCCAAAAGGAAGAGTAAATAAAAAGAAGACATGGGGATGTGGCTCCGTGTGAAGGCCCTGGGTCTGATCTCCAGTGCTGAGAAAAAGGAAGGGGAAGGGGAAGGGAAGGGAAGGGATAGAAAGGAAAGGAAAGGGGAAGGGAAGAGAGGGGAAGGGAAAGAAGGATAAGGGAGGGGAGGGGGAAAGGTGGTGCCAAGAAGACCACCAAAGCTGAAGTCGCTGCCATGGTCCCAGAAGCTTCCTTGGAGGCGCTCAGGGCCTGGCAGAGCAGCAGAGGGGCTGTGCCAGGACTCAGCTGGGACCCTGCAGGGCAGGTAGCTGAGAGGAGTCAGAGGTGCTAGGGAGAAGCCGCTGGAGTTGGAACTGAAGGCTGCAGGGGAAAAGCAAAAACAGGGTGTGGGGCCAGGGGTATAGCTCAGTGGCTTAAGCGCTTGCACGGCAAGCCTGAGGTCATGAGTTCAATTCCCAGTATTAAAAAAAAAAAAAAACAGGGTGTGGCCCGGGGAGTGGGTGGTCCAAGTTCTAAAGGCAGGGAGGCCACCAAGAGGTTCCAGTGGCCTAAGCCTACTGGCTGGCTGAGGGCAGTGGAGGTTGCGGAACAGAGGAGAAAGTTCCACAGACATCCATGAATGACAAAGAAGGACCAAGAGTTCAGCTGGCACCAGGGCATGAAGGGGAAGTCAGAAAGGATCACACAGAGACACAAACTATAACTAAAGTCTTGCAGGGATTCCTGGAGCTCATACCACCTGCACACTTCCTTGATCAAATTTTGTTTTATTCAAGTTGAACTAGTATATGAAACTACCACCTTTGTAGCACAAAAAGTCAAATAGGGCCAGGTGTGGTAGTGCATGCCTGTATTCCCAGCACTGGAGAGGCTGAGGCAGAGGCAGAAGAAGGATCACTGCAAAGTTCAAGGCCAGCCTGGGCTACATAGTAAGTTCAAGGCCAGCCTGAACAGCATATGGAGACCCTGCCTCAAAAAAAAAAAAGATAAAATAGTCAAGTATCTTGAGAACCATATAACTCAAGCAAATAACCAAACAGTTGTGTGTGCGCGCGCGCGCGCGCGCGCGCGTGTGTGTGTGTGTGTGTGTGTGTGTGTGTGTAGTACTAGCAATGGAAGCCAGGGCCTTTGCACTGAGGTACATTCTCTTTTTTTATTTTGAGACAAGGTCTTGCAAAGTCATTAAACTGCCCAGGCTTGGCCCAAACTTGCAATCCTTCTGCCTCAGCCTTCAAAAGTGCTGATAGTACAGGTGTGCCCACCATGTCTGCTGCTGCTCATCTTTTTAACAAACAGAGAACAACTACCTAAATCTTTTTTACTGGCTGCTCTTGGAGTGAAAAAAATCTGTCATCAATCCTCAAAGAACAGAAGCTGAGTCCAATTCCTCTGTAGAAAGGATGAAACAAACACACACACACACACACACACACACACACACACACACACACAATCTTCTACCATCAATCCCTTTGCTTCCAGTATTACCTGCCGGGACCAGGACCATCCTAGCATCACACAAAAATTCTGGAACAGCCATGGAGCCCAACAAATGTATATCTGCCCAGGCTCCGCGATGCACAGGGGGCCAGCAACTGGCTAGCTTTCCCTGAAGAGAGCACAGAAGAGAGCCAGTACTCCTCACTCTTCTTCCGGCACCCAGGCCAGCTGACAGCAGCCTCCAGACCTGCCCGACCAGAGTCTCCCCTGACCTCCCACAGGGAGATGCTCTCCGTGCCCAAGGCAGACCAGCCCCTTAGCCCACACATGCCCTTGACCTCCTCACCGCTCCTGGGCTACAGCTCCTGGGAGGCACAAGCTGAGGCCCTCCCTAGCTTCCTTTTGCTCTGCCTGGAATGCCCCCAACTGGCCTGCAGAATGCAGCCTCCTCATCTCTCAAGATCCAGTTCTGGGCATTCCAGAGTTGTTAGCTCCACTGCACGAAAGACAGAAACCCCAGGACAGCCTCAGTCCCACGCTTGATAACCACTCACCCCTTCCAAAGCCCGGGGCCTCGCCCTTCTGCTTATCAGTGGGGGAGCGGGGAACACTCTGCCCAGGTCCCACAGTACTTCTGCCTGCCCCGAACTTCAGCCTAAGTGTAGTCCAAAGCGATGAGAGGGCCAGGGCAGGTCTGGGAAATGGAGGCTGTCAGAGACTGACGGGCTTTGCAATCACCTTCGAGGCAGGATTCCTCGAAGCAGGAATCCTTTAGGAAAGTCGCCTACATAGGAACAGCCCAGACCAGCCCAGACCAGCCCAGTGAGTCTGGCTTGGTCCTCCTCTCTACCTCTCTCGGTCTTTACCTCTGCTGCTACTAGGACTGGTAATACTACTACTGTCGCCACAGCCTTGGGTGAGCTGGGGTGTGGGGTACCTACAGCCCTCCGGCTCTATTCCTCTGCACAACCCATACAGCGGGGTGAGGGCAGCACTGGGCTGGCAGGCGCCCCTTCTGCTGATCTCAAAACTACAGGTAGGATGAGCAGCAGCAAGCAAGCGCCAAGGGTTAAGACAGAAAGGCCAAGTCAGACGTGGTGGCGCACGCCTGTAATCCCAGCACTCCGAGAGGCTGAGGCAGGAGGCTCTGAAGTTCGAGCCTGGCTCCAGGAACTTAAAGGGACTTCGTCTCAAAAATTTAAAAATTTAAAAAATTAAAAAAAAAAAAGACCTGGGGATGTAGCTCAGTGCCAAGGGTCTGGGTTCAGGTTTCAGTCCCTAGTGGGACTAAGAAATAAAAAGAAGAAACCAGAAAGTAGCTCATTTTACCTATCAACCTGACTTTTAGGGCAGGAACAGCGCGTCAGCTCACTTTGCCCAAACCCCCTCAGTGACGGGAGACCCGGAGAAGAAGCCACTGATGAAAATAAACCCTACACCCTGCAGTTCACAAAACCCCGCCTGCTCCTCGGCCCACAGGAGACCTCCTTCTCGGTCCAGGCGGCCCTTCCGACCCCTAAGCCCCGGCACCCGACCCCGGCCACAGCGGCGCTCGCTCACCGAAGTAGTCCCGCGCCGTGCGCGCCTCCAGCGCCCGCTCCAGCTCCCGGGTGAGCGTGTCCAGCCGCCGCTCGGCCGCGCTCGGGCCGCCTTCCCGGGCTGGAGGAAGCTGCAGCGAAGGCAGCGGGAAAGGGACCGGCCCTGCAGGCTCCGGGGAGCGGGCCGGCGCGGGGCAGGTGCCGGGCAAGGGCAG